GTTGGTTTTTCATAGATAGCCTTAATCAGGTTAAGATAAAGACCTTCTATTCCAATTTTCTGTAGGGTTTTAATCATGAATGGGTGCTGGATTTTGTTGAATGGTTTTTCTGCATCTTTTGAGATGATCATATGGTTTTTGTCCTTGACTCTGTTAATATGGTGTATTACTACAAGGTATCATTTAGACTACTAATAAGGTCTCAGTTTTCTGGAGGAAGTGGCATTTGATGGTGAGCCATAGGGTCCATAAATGACCTGTAGGATTTTGATGGTGGCCCAGAAAGAGAAGGCAAATGTTTGGAGGAGGGAAATTCCAGCAAATATATGATCTTTTAAGACTGAAATTGCTGGGGGTGGTGGAACACACCTGTAAACCCATTACTCAGGAGGCAGGAGGATCACTTTGAGTCCAAGGCCAGCCTGGACTACATAGTGAGTTCAAGGCCAGCCTGAATTACAAAGTGAGACCCTGTCTCAAAAATCAACCAACCAACCCACCCCAAAGCTGACAGTAGTAATGTAGGAGTAATAGGAGCAAAAGCCAGGAAGCTGGATTGGCTTGCCACCATCCTGGTGTAAGGACCTCAGATACAAGGGTGGGCAGCATGTGCTTGCCCGGGGTTCCATTTTAGTCCTAAAGGAGTCCGACCACCACCATCCTAGGCTGACCAGAGACCACTTTAAGTCTCTTCCATCCGCTATGCTTTTGTATCTGCTTAAGTTGTATAGTCATGGGTTAATAAGCCCAGTAAGCACAGCTACAGCCCATAACTCCCCTCATTCTTCAGCCCTGCTCTTAACAAGCAACCACCACTCCCTGTACTTTCTCAAGCCTTGTCCCTGGCAGGTACCCACAACTCCTTTTCACTGAACTCTCCCCCTTGAAAGTCCCATTTTGACCTTTTCCTTTACAGTCCCCTTTATGACCCTGTAGAAGACCTTATATCCTGTACAAGAGTTATTGGTCTGCTCCAAGTGCCAGGGAAATCCCTCTCAGGTTTGTTCTGGAGTAAACCTGTCCTGTTGAGCTCATACCTTTGGTTTTCTTCCTTTTTTTCCTAACAAGTCCCATAATCATGTCCAAGCCTGGTAACAAGGTATCCAGGTGTATGACATCTAGGTGCTATTGGCACCCTCAGGTTCTGACCTGCTGCTGGCTTATTTAATAACAGAAAAATGTGCCACCTTCTAGACTACCTTTTGTTTTTTTAAAAAAAGTGACTTTGTTTTATAAAGAATAACTTTATTCCATAAAATAGCCTCCAAAAGAAAATGTTATCTCTTCTGTTTCCTCTTTTCTACTTCTCCTTTTCTGCATCTGTTTGGAAGCAACACACTTTTCTCATGTAGAAATGAGTCTCAATTAGTTGGAAGAAGTTCTTATTGTTTTCTCTATCAGGCCTTGTGTCTCGAAACCGCCCTGAGGAAGAGGACCAGTATTGGCTAAGTATGGGCAGAACTTTCCACAAAGTGACTCTGAAGGACAAAATGATCACAGTGACACGGTACCTTCCCAAGTAAGTCCTTTGATATTTAAGATCTTCAACTATCACTCTGATTTATGTCTGCATATTAAATTATGTGTACAGTACAGAGTTTAAGCCAAGGAAGTTGAGTGGTTGGTTTTCCTTTGGAGTATTTGTTTTGTTTTAAAATAACCCTGAGGTTGGTGGCACATGCCTGTGATCCCAGCACTGGGGAAGCTGAGAGAGGAGGATCACTGCAAGTTCGAGGCCAGCCTGGGCTACATAGTAGGTTCAAGACCAGCCTGAACTATGTAGTGAGTCCCTGTCTCAAAAAATATATATATATAAAAAAATAATTCTGAAGTTATTTTAGAGTTATAAGTTACCTGTTTCCAAAAGGAATTTGATTCAGCTTACAACATTTAGTATGATTCATACTAAGCCAGTTAAAATTAAAAGTATAAGGAGAAGAATGAAAAAGTTTAAGAAGATAGAAATTTCCATTTCAGTCCTCTGGCATGAGTTGGTTACCATAGTTGAGGATAGAAATACCAAGGATAGTACTTTATGAGTACTTTGAGATAGAAAAGAAAGAAAAAAATTGTGTGTGTGTGTGTGTGTGTGTGTGTGTGTGTATGAGATTCTCTTTTGAATGCATAGACATGCTCTTTATTTTTCAGATACCCGTATGAATCTGCTCAGATCCATTACACCTACAGCCTCTGCCCTTCCCACTCAGACTTGGAATTTGTCTCCTGTTGGGTAGAATTCTCCCATGAGCGGCTGGAGGAATACAAGTGGAATTACTTGGACCAGTATATTTGTTCTGCAGGTTCTGAGGATTTTAGGTCAGAGAGAAGGCTTTGGCTTTCTGTTCTTGCTGCTTTGGGTATATTATATGGGTATTTTAGCACTTCTATCCTTTTTTCCAAAGCCAAAATGTCTGTTTTGTTTTCTAGGAAAAAAAAAAAAATAGAAGTACAAAGGCACATCTGCATGGATTAAAAATAGTGATGCGGTGGATAATGGTGATGGTTATATACGAATGTGAATGCACTTAATGCCTCTGATCTGTACACTTAAGATTGGTTAAAGTGGTACATTCTGTTATATATATTGTACTACAATTGAAACAAAACAGCTCAGTGATGATGTGCCCTTTGGTACAGAAATTAGTGCAGATCATGTTCTACCATTTTCTTGTCTACCTGGCTGTAACTCTGGTGTCTCATTTTTAATTTTTGACTTTTATATGTGATTTGTGATTGTGATGGTTCACAGCCGCAACTTTGCTGGATCAGGGTACATAGAAGCATCTTGACATCCTGGGATTAAAGCAAAAGTGACCTCCATTGTCTTCCTTCCCAGTTTGTGTTTTAAATGAAACCGTGAGTTGTAGCATCAAATGAACATGCACTCCTGCCAGATGGACCCTCATACACCAACTCCACAGAGAATTTGCTGGCACTGCTTTGATTGTGTGCCTTTTCTTATTACTGCCCTGCATTTTCCTTGGTTTTCTGTAGCTTAATTGAATCTCTGAAGTTCTGGAGGACTCGCTTCCTGCTGCTGCCAGCCTGCGTCACTGCCACCAAGCGCATCACAGAGGGGGAGGTCCACTGTGACATCTATGGGGACAGGCCCCGTGCAGATGAGGATGAATGGCAGCTCCTGGATGGCTTTATCCGTTTCGTGGAGGGCTTGAACCGGATCCGTAGACGACATCGTTCAGATCGCATGATTCGCGTGAGAGCTCCTGGGGCTTCTTGAGGACTGTGCTTGGTTGGGATGCAGAACCTGCCTTCTTCTCTCTCAGGAGCCTCTCATCAGTCAGTTTGTTTACCCTACAACTGCCCAACATTTGTCTTAAAATCCCAAACAGTGTATTTTTCTCCACTGCAAGGTAAAGGAGGGGGTAGGGTGCAGACAGTGACTAGGAGGTGACCTTGGCTTGAGCCTCCCTCTCTAGCTGAGGACACAGAGCCTTTATGCACTTCCCCAAGTGGGACCAGATGTTAAGCATAGCTGCTTGTGATATAATGAATTGCTAAGTAGAAACTCTCAGAAGGCTAATAGTAGCAGTCTTTCCTTATTCATATTACTTTTAGAGTTTCCAGTACCATTGGTCCTTCATTTCAGTCACATAATTCTACTCAGTGGGAAACTGAAGCTTGTGGGGTTTATGGAATGTCTGAGGCCACTCAACCAATAAAGGGCAGATCTAGGATTCTGCATTGTTTCATTTAAATTAACATACAGTGTACTTGACCTGTGTGTAAGTGAATGTATATATGTGTGTGCACATGTACATGTATATAGGTATATACGTTTTAATAAATACATAGATTCTTTCAACCACTACCACAATCAGGATACAGAATAGTTCCTTTGCCTCAAAGAAAAGTCCATTATTTTGCCGTTGGCCATCAATCATATTTTTCCCCGTTTCTATCCCTTAGCAACCACTGCCAATCAAAATACTTTTCTTTTTTGCAAATGTCATAAAAACAAAATCATATAATATGAAACCTTTTGAGGCTATCTTTTTCCACGTAGAATCATTCTTTGGGATTCATCCAAGTTGTTTTGTGTATCAGTTAGTTAATTCTTTTTAATTGCCTGATAGTATTCCATTACCAGCTGGTTTCTCCTTTTTTGTTTTTAACCTCAAGTTTGGTATTGTTTCTTCCTTTTGCCAGCTTCCTTTTGTGTACAGAAGCACTTATGATTGGGAACATTTCTGAGAGAACTTGTATAGAAAGAGCTTTTTTTTTGAAGTAAGGCAACTGGAGTTCACATTCCAGCTCCAGTGGGATTTGAAGTAAATTGCTTAACCTCTCTGAGACTCAGTTTCTTCCACACTGCACTCAGAATCTGTGTTCCCTGACCATGTTAATGGGGTTTCCAAGGGCATGAAGATGCAGTGCATGGTCTAAGGTTTGAGTGGTGTCCACTGAGAGAGCTTGCTTGGCTAATGGCTTCATTTCTTCTTCTCTGGTTTAGAAAGGGACTGCTATGAAAGGCTTGCAGATGACTGGGCCCATTTCCACACACTCCCTGGAGTCAACAGGCCCCCCAGTTGGGAAGAAGGGAACCTCAGCTTTGTCTGCCCTGCTGGAGATGGAGGCAAGTCAGAAGTAAGTGCCTGTTCGAGAGGGCATTGTCTCCACCCCAAAGTCTTCGAGGGCTTTCAGTGCCCCACTCCTGCGAGCAGGGTGAAATATGATTTCCATCTGCAAGGAGCTTGTAATTAAGACATTTATTTATTACATGAAAAGAAATCCAGGAGCTGGGTATAGTCGTGCATGCCTGTAATCTCAGCACTCTGGGAGGCTGAGGCAGAAGGATCAAATGTTTGAGCTCAGCTTGGGCAATTTAGTGACTTAGCAAGACCCTGTCTCAAAAAGAAGAAAAGGCTGGGGATATAGCTCAATGAGAAGGCCCCGAGTTCAATCCGTAGTAGTAGTAAAGAAAAAGCTAAAGCAAGCCAGCCTAATACATGACTAAGTGTCGAATAACATGAAATAGGCCAGTAAGACTACAATTACAAACTTGTAGTCTGGGGCTTCATTTGAACTATAGATACACAAAGCATTTTTTTTTTTTTCTCTTGAGCATTTAAAATATCTGCCTATCTATTTATTTATTTATTTGCTATGTTGCCCTGGGTAGACTTGAACTCCTAGTTCAATGATAGTGAACATTTTAGAGCTTTCAGTTGATTGAAAAGAACTCCCTGCAGCACTCATGCCATAGGTTCACCACCACTGTCCTAGGCTCAAGAAATCCATCTGCCTCAGCCTCCCAAACAATTGGGGCTACACACATGTGCCATTGCATTTGTCTCATGAGTGTTTTTTTTTTTTTTTTGGTCCTAGGGATCGAACTCAGGACCTTGGGCTTGCGAGGCAGGTGGCAGAACCACTGAGCTAAATCCCCGGCCCTTCATGAGTGTTTTTTAAATATTTGAGCCAAATTTTTCAAATTTGAAGATTTCGTATAAAAATCTAGATTTTATATGAATTTTTATTTTTTTTAATAAGGACTTTTATATAAAAGTATATAATATATATAATGTGCATAATGTAACTTGATGTGTGATTCTATTATATAAAAGTTATATGAAATAGATAATATAATGTGAAATTATATTATACATAATATGTAAAAATCCAGCTTTACGTTAAATAGCTGAGTCTTAGTGCACATTTGTTCCCAGCCACAGTGGACTGAACTTTGGAAGGGGCACATGGTGGCCAGGTGTGGTGTCACATGCCTGCAAGCCCAGATGCTCAGGCGGCTGGGGAAGGAGGATCACAAGTTCAAAGCCAGCCTGAGCAACTTAGTGAAACCTTATCTCAAAATAAATAAATAGCTAGGTAGATAGTAAGGGCTGGGGTTACAATTCAGTGGTAGAGTGTATGCCTAGCATGCACAAGGCCCTGGGTTCAGTCTCCAGTACTGGAAAAGAAAAAAGATGTGTAGTTTTTTCTCCTCGAGGTCTTAGATTGTTTTGCATCCTCAGTAATGCCCCCTGGCATGTTTCTCTAGGCATTTGGGTATGTGGCCCTTGTATAACAGTGCCCCAGTTGACAGGACACTGTAGAACCACATCTTGCTTGGGAATGCAGGGAAAGTATCACCAGAGGTGAGATTTAAGTTGGCCTTGTAGAAAGCGAAGCATAGAAACAGGGAAAAAAAGTGAAGCATTTCCACTGGAGGAAGGCGGGACTTGGGAAAAGAGAAAACATTGCTGTGTGCAGGTAGGACCTGCCTTGGGCAGTTTTGCCTGCCTCTGTCTTCCCTACAGCTAGGTCAGGTTCCTCTCTATGCTTGCCTCCATCTTGGGCCTATACCTATCAGAGCACTTACCAGTATTCTGAGGGCTTCAGGCATTGGTTTACTTATCTTCCCTCCAGTCTGACTGTGCTGAGGGCAGAGGCTACAAGTATGTAGTAGGTGTGCAGTGCATATTTATGAAATGACAGAGGGCAGGAATGCTATCTTAGTTACTTTTCTCATTGCTGAGACAAAATACTCAACACCCAAAGTTGAAGGAGGCAAGGTTTATTTCTGCTCACAGTTTGTAGAGGTTTCAGTCCATAGTTAACTGTCTTCAAGGCAGGGTGGCGTGACAGAGGGGCACTGCAGAGGAGAAACAGTTCATGGCAAAGCAGGGCAGACAGAAAAGAGCAGAAGCAGCAGCAGCCACCAAGCCTGCCTTTATATTTCATCCAGGCTACCTTCCCTTAGGGTAGTAGCACTCACGTCTAAGGTAGGGCACCTTAATCCCAACATCATATCCTTAATCCCAGCATCATACACCCTAGATGGAGCCAGCTCCACAAAGCTCTACCTATGACCGCATGAGGCTTTAGGGAGACATCTAATTGCAAGCTATAACAGATACTAAAGATCTACCTGTACAGCTATGGGCAAGTGTGTTAGGGGAGACTAGAACCTTGTTTGTCTAGTATGAGAATTTGTGTTGCATCCCTCAGGAGTCGCACATATTAGACTTTTAGGAAGCAACTATGAACAAGTGAACGAGCATGAGGTATGGTGGGAGGTGCAGTTGGAAAGACAGTGTAGGAAGCTAGCTCCTAGGCCATCCTTACAGAGTCTCATAGCAGGAGGAATCCTTTGCAAGTTTTAAAAAATTTTATTTTAATAGAAAAATTCAAACAGATGAGAAAAAGTAGACAGACTACTATCTCTGTTTACCCATCACTCAGATGCAATTTTTTTTTTTTTTTTGTACCAGGGATCAAACTTGGGACCTTGTGCCTCGGCACCACTGAGCTAAATCCCTGGTTCCCATCACTCAGCTTCAGTGATCATCAACTCAGTCTTGTTTCATTTATATTCCACTCATGTTCTCTTTCCTTTTATTCCTTTCTCAAATCCCAGACATTATATCCTTCATCTGTATATTTTAGCATGTATCCCTGAAAGATAAGTCTTCTTTTTCTTTTTTTGAGACAGGGTCTTGTTTTGTAGTGCAGGCTAACCTTGAACTTACTATGTAGCCCAGGCTGGCCTTGAACTCCCAGGGTTCCTTGTGCCTCAGCCTTCTGAGTCCTGGGATTACAAGTGTGCATCACCCTGCCAGGCATTTGGTTTTTTTTTTTTTTTTTTTTTTTTTTGAGACAGTGTCTCACTATGTAGTACAGTCTGGCCTGAAACTCAAACTCATGACAGTCCTCCTGCCTCTGCCTCCTTAGTGCTGGGATTATAGGTGTATGCCACCATGCCTGGTTGTCTTCTTCTTTTTTTAAAATCCAAAATATAATGTTATAGTCCACCTAAAAAATTGCAGCGATTTCTTAATATCATGAAATATCCAGTTGGTGTTTCTGGCAGGAGTGATTTTTTTTCCAGGGATAAGCCCCATGTATAGGAAGGCTTGGTGGGTGGGTACTGGGAGGCAGAGGATGGATGGAAAATGAAGATTAATAGAAAAGAAGGGAGGCAGAGAATGACATGAAGAGAAGAAAACAGCAGGGTATCCAAGGGAGAGTAAATGAGAGAAGGAAAGCGGGCTGATTGGGCTCATACCAAAGGCACTGTGTCTTCTGCTCAAAATTTCTCTATCAAATCGAGGAAAGACCCTAGAACTCTGCCTGCCAGGTTTTCCCTGGAACAAATGATAGAGTTTTTCCACTGGAAAAGAGAACAAGGAACATATGTTGCTGGGAGGGGTGTGAAGCTGGGGGTGAAGGGATCTAATTTTAATTTGCAGTGAATCATTATTCTATGTGCACTAAAGAGCTCAGGTTGGAAGAGGACGGCGATCTTGGGGTAGTAGAGTCCCCCAGTGTGTAAAGGGTGAGATTCTCAGCTAACCCCACTATAGGAGGTAGGACAAAGAGACCTCAGACTTATATCTTGTCCTAGATGCCTGCTCCTGGGGGAAGTGCTACATTTTTTCAAGGCTGGAGGGTAGAGCAGAGGGACCCAGACTTTTATAAAATAATGTTTGTTCACACAGCATCTTTTATTTGTAAGCTTTTCTTCTGCTGCTGCTGCTCCAAGCAGATTCGGCTGTATGTATGAGTGTATTTTGTGGTACTGGAGATTGAACCCATGGCCTTTGTACTAGGCTACATCCCCAGCCCTTCTTCTTTTTTTTTTTTGGTACCGGGGATTGAACTTGGGTCCTTCCACTTGGGCAGCAGGTGGCGAAACCACTGAGCTAAATCCCCAGCCTCTAGCCCTTCTTTTACTTTTTACTTTAAAATGAAGTCTCACTAAGTTGCTAAATGCTCAAACTTGTGATCCTCCTCTTTCAGCCTTCCAGAGTGCTAGAATTACAGGTTTGTACCACCACACCTGGCTCAGTTCTGTTACGAGAAACTCAATGTTATAACAACATGAAAAAGAGCTTTAAAAATTCATATATAGTTCCACCATCTTACCATGTTTATTTCATCCAGTTCCACTCCAGTGTTTATCTTAGCTACACATATTTAGTCAGGCTTTTTTGCAAACCAAGGTCTCTGGAGTCTCACCTCTGTGCTAATTAACAACCACAGGGTAGCAGGTATTGGGCAGCCAGCTCCTCTGCTTCTGTTAAATGAGGATAAACCAATCGTTGGGTTATGCATGGGGGTGAAGGACAAACAGACAGAGACACTCCAAACAGGTGGGGTTTTCTCGTATTCAAGGTGGCTCTTGTGTGTGCGTGACCCTCAAGACTCCATGATTGCTCAAAACATGTCAGCAGTGTAACAGTGCATTGTCCAACTGAAGACTTCATGTGAAGGGTTTTTCCATACTTTTGTCTTCTTGCTTCTGGGTAGGCTGTTTTCTTCCTGCCTATCCTTTAAGGAAACCAGCACTGTAGCACTGCCTCTGTGGAGGTTTGGCTGGCTGCTTGTAGTGCAGAATGCAGAGTGCCCTATGTATTTTCTTCAGTTCCCTTCCCCTGAGACACTAGACAAGGAGACTGTAAGGGCAAGGACAGGGTCTTCCCCAAGCCTGAATCTCTGCTTCCTAATATACCAGTATGTGTCAGCTTGTACGAGGCAATTCAGTAAATGTGGATCGTTATGTGTATCACACAGCACATCTTCAGAGGTAACTGAAGCTTCTTGTCACTGCTGTCCCCATCATGGCCCAATGCTGCAGCCCTCAGAAAGTGCCAGAAAATGTCACAGTGTGCATTGTGGATGTGGTTGAGAGGAAAACACTCTGTAATGTAGTGGAGGGAGAGAAACAGAGACAGAGGGAAGGACAGAGAGAAGTGGACACACAGTCTGCAGTGTCAGTGAGCGAGGGAAAAGATCAAGCATGTTTGCTGCTTTTCATCTATGAATTGTACCTCAGAGTAACCAAGTCATTGGTGTGGGGAAGTTTCTCTTTTTAAAATATTCTGGCTAACAAATACAAAAGGAATGGTAGAATATCGATATATGTAGTCTCTAAGGAATTGATGGATCTCTGGAAATTGTCAGCGGTAGCTAACATTACCACAGAGAGAGAGCAGGAAGTCATTGTCCTCTGGGTAGAAGTACACAGCATCATTTGGGAAAAATTCTTGCTTGACATTGGACCTAAATTTGTCCAAATCTCTACGTATAACTTCTAGTTCTCAGGAAGTACAGGTTGCAGAGGCTAAACAGTAAAGGCATGCAGCTAGACTATGTACATTTGTAGGACAGATGAGCTCCTGTCTTCAGTAAATAAATTGCAAGGATAGGAGAAATGAGAGGAGTTTATGCCTTAAAAGAGAATTAAGAGCTGTGACTTACTGCAACAAAAGGACCTTAATAAAATCTTGTTTTGGATAAACAAAATGTAAGATTTTTTTTTTCCTTTGAGAGGTATTCGAATGTTTATAGATAAAATATGTGAGTTTTGTTTCAAAATAATTAATGTGAGTAGGTAAGAGCTATAGAGGAAACAAGATTTCTGCAAGTATATAATTTTAGTGGCTAGGTATGTAGGGATTTCTTAATCTTACTCTTTATTTTTATATATGTTTGAGTTTTTCCATAATTAAAAAAAATTTAGGTGGTACACATCTGTAATCCCAGTACTCAGGAGGCCGAGGCACGAGGATCATGAGTTTGAGACAGTCTGGACTATAGTGAGTCCCTGTCTCTAAGAAAATTTAAGAAAGTAACAGTTTCCTATAGGAACAGATTTTTAATCCATGGTATGAAATTACTTCATGATGGTTAACAAAATTTCAGAATTTGGTCTGGTAATATAGCTCAGTGGTAGAGTGCTTGCCTAGTATGCATGAGGTTCTGACTTTAATCCCCAAGACTGTAAAAAATAAAATTAAAAAAAATCAGAATTTAAGATGAGAAAGATTTCAGATTGGGTTCCCAAAGAAGCAGACTTAAATTTGTGGGCTATTAAACCGAGTCTTTGGACTCATCACCTGTGACAGGGAGTGGGAGGATACAGGATTGGGGACAGGGAGAAGCTGAGCTGTAGGACTGGCCCAGTGATAGCCTCAGAGGACCCCATATGAGTGCTAGAGGTAGCACAGCCTTCTCAGATGAGCCAAGTTATGCCAATGTGGTAGGCTTTTGTATGCACTCATGTGCACACTCGCTCCTGCTGATCATTCATTGGTTGTGGGATCCTAGGAAATGGATGTGAACTTAGACCAGGCTGCTGTGTGGCTAGAGATGTCACTGGATGCACTGGCAGCTGAGCTGTTTGGATAGTGTTCTCAACTTAAGGCAGCAAGCCACTACCGAGGGATCTAAGTGATGCCTCACAGTGTCTGGCATAGCAGAACAGTTGATCCTCCATATCTGTGAGTGCTGCATTAATTAAATCAGTCTCCCAGGGATTGAAAACATTACGGGGAGTTGTGATGAACATGTACAGACTTTTTTTGGTCATTATTCTCTAGACAATATGAAGTAACAAGTATTTGCATAGCACTTACTGTATTGGTATTACGAGTACCCTAGAGATAGCCTAAAGTATCTGGGAGAATATGTGTAAGTTTTATGTAAATTCTACAGAATTTATTATATTATTGTATATAAGAGATTTGAGTATCTACACATTTTGGTATTGACTGGGGGTCTTAGAACCAATCCCTCTCAGCTACTGAGAGATAACTGTGTATTTTACAATAGTAATGAAGCAGTTAGGTTATAATATGAGCCCTCTGAAACTTACCAGATAAGAGCAATGTACAGTGGACCCTAAAGTTACAACCAGCCTGACATAAGAACAACTTGGGTTAATTAGGTTAATGGAAGATTCATCTGGTTCTTGTTATCTATAGTGTGTACCCAGATAAACATCCAGATCTCAGCTATATTGACTTACCATCAACTTGAGTTACCATCAGGAACCAATTGAGTTTATAAGTCAAGGGTCCACCATAATTTAAGTTAAAATAGTTTACAGTTAATTTTAGTGTGGAAAACTTTTGGAAAATAAAGATGAAGGTATGCATTTATGTACATGAGAACTGAGATAGAATGAGATGGCAGGAGAAAATTATATTTGTCTTGTGTTATGGGATACTGTCTGTTACCTGCTTTAGGGTTAGATGTAAGTTGGAATAACATAAATCCCTTCAAAATATGTAAAATTAACATTTCCCCCATTTAGGTTTTGTTGCATGTTAATGCAGCCCTAATTTTCAGAATGTGCTTTTCTTTATTTTTGTTTGTTTTGTTTTTTGAGACAAGGTCTCACTATGCAGTTCAGGCTGGCCTTGAACTCGCTATGTAGCCCAGGCTGGCCTCAAACTCATGGCGATCCTCCTGCCTCAGCCTCTTGAGTGCTGGGATTACACACATGTGCCACCATCCCCAGCCATGCTTTTGTTTTAACTTTAATAAAAACTGAGAGAAAAAAAAATCTTCCCAGAGAACTAAAAAAAATGGTATTCCTGGTAGAGTCACTCAAGCCATGTCATTTGCCCTTTGAAAGTAATATGTAGGTACCAGGTACTGCTAGAATTGCTTTTTAAATTGGGCTGTTTTGTCTTTCACTGTGGTGGACTGGTGATCGTTCAGGATTATGAATGAAATTATAGGTGTCATATAGGGCCTGAGGCAGAACAAGGCAGAAGTGTATGTATTTCAAAGGTGACAGCAAAAGAGTTGTCTTCATTTTAGCTAATATGGCTCCTTTATCAGGGAGGCAAGCAACAGTCATGCGTTTTTCCTTCTTTTAGGTGCCTAGGAGAACAGCAAGCAGCTGTGCATGGTGGAAAGAGCTCTGCCCAGCCAGCTGAGAGCAGCAGCGTTGCCATGACTCCCACCTATGTGGACAGCCCACGAAAGGTAAAGGGGGCCACTCCATCAGGGAGCTGCCATGTACTCTGAGAAACCCCATATGGAAGGTAAAGTGGAAAGCTGTTAAAATTTTAGGATTGAATGTGCTGAGTCTTTGAGTGAATTCTTCTTTTTACCCTTTTAAGGTTCTATTACTATCTTTATTGAGGGTTACCCTTTTGTTTACCATAGCAAGAAAGCTAACTTATAGTTAAGTGTAGATATAAAACAGCCAAGACCCAAGATCTGGGTTGAGTTTTGATACTGGCCTTCTAGTTGTCCTTTACCATCACTGTTAGCTTCCCAAACAGGAGTAGGAAGCTATTGAAGCAGTTTCTACAAAAGCTCACTCACTGTTTGATAGTGGAAATCCTATCGGTTTCTTAGACTCCTGAGAAATACAGTCAAACAAGATCATGGGGTGGAGGTAGGGTCACAAACAAAACCCCCTCAGACTTTAGGCCTTTAAAAGGAGTAACAAGTACTGCAATAGAGTGAAGAAAATTCCATAGGTCAGGCTTTTTGTGCCTTTTAAGATCAGTACACTTGACTCTGTCAACTTTGTTTCCTAAGAAATTCTAAATCTGAGATCATTCTGTTGTGATCTCGTAGTGTGAGCTGACTGAATATTCTCTTTTTTTGTTGTTGTTTTTTTGAGACAGGGTCTCACTGTGTAGTTCAGGCTGTCCTTGAACTCACTATGTGGCCTTGAACACGTGACAATCCTCCTGCCTCAGCCTCCTGAGTGCTGAGATTACAGGCATCCACCACCACGCCTGGCAAGACTGTATATTCTCTTATTTGGTGTCCACTATTAGGAGGTGAAAGAGATTCAGTAGATGTATTTTATTTTTCAAAATTATGTATATCTATTCCTATATTTGTTTATTTTACTTTGTGTAATAAAAGTTTTCTATGTCATTAATATTTTTCAAAAGCATGATTTGTGTGTGTGTGTGTGTGTGTGTGTGTGTAATGCTGAGGATTGAACCCAGGACACTGTGCATGCTGAGTGTGTGTTCTACCACTGAGTTAATGTTTTCCTAGCATATGCAAGGTTCTGGGTTGGAGTCTCAGCATCACACACACAAATGCTATATAATATTTCATCATATGAATTTACTTTCCTTTAGAACATTTTTGTTAAAACTGTAGGTGATTTCTGATTTTTCCTTGAGATGGAGTCTTGCTATGTTGCCCACACTGGTCTTGAACTCAAGATCTTCCTCCCAGCCTCCTGAAGTAGCTGGGATTATGGGTGTGTACCAGTGCATCTGGCTGATTTCTGCTTTTTAAGATACATTTTGGCCGTTGTAAAAATTTTTATAATTCACAGTGCATCACAACCATAAATAATGTTATAATGATCTTCCTATTTTTAGTGGCAAGGATTCAAATCAGGGGCCTTTGCACTGAGTTCCATCTCTAGCCCACAGTCCTCTTTTAAAAATTTCTTCTAATTTTCAAATTTTTAATATTGTTTTGAGGTAAAATGTTGCTAATTTTCCTAATCTAGGCTCAAATTTAACAATCCTCCTGCCTCACCCTCCCAGAGTGCTGGGATTATAGGTGTTTGCCACCATACCTAGCTAATGACCTTGTTAAAATAATTAGTTGAACCTCTGATTATCTGCCTAAATTACTAGAATTATATCACTTGGATGGAGAGATTAAAATCTGAGAAAAATTATCAACCAAGGCTGCAGGCCGTTTGTAGACTCTGTAGACCAGAGGTCAGCAAAACTAAATACATATTTCAGGCTTTGTGAGTCAAGAGGCAAAATAAGGCTCTTTATATGTATTTCTATAACCATTTAAAATTGTAAAAATTATTCTTCACTGACAGGCTATAAAAAACCAGGTGGCTAGACAGATCTGGCCTCCAACCTATAGTTTGCTGACCTCTACTCGTTCTGTTGGCCAAGAAAAGAGTTTTTTCGCCTATTGTCATATGTGTGTACATAAATGTCAGCATCATCAGCACCTCTGCTGGTATATGTTCTGGCAGAGAAGGGACAAGAGATACCTAAGTTCCCTACATGGTGCCCAATCATTTTTTGTTTTTGTTTTTTCTTTTTTTAAACCTCTGCTTAATATCATCATTTAGAATTAGAAACAGTGCCAAAGACAAGACTGAAAAGTAATGAAATTATAAAGTCACAGACTTTAGGGGTAAAATGCACCAAAGACTACATATGTTGTTTAGAACAGCTTCCTAATCTTCCAGTTGAACACTGAAGTCCACATGCAGGAGCTGTCAGTGTTGCTAGATGTTGACTCCCAAATTAAGTAGGGGGAAACAGTGCTATGAGATGCCCTGCTGGCACACTCCGAAGTCCTACTTTTCAAACTGAAGAAAAAGTTTAGGAAAGCAAGGAACTTGGTCAAGTGTCACTACTGAATTGCAGTAGTGACATTACTGAATTGATAAGCATAAAAAGTAAAAAGATCTTGAAGAGACAGAGAGACTATGGAAAGGTTTGCTGTGCTTTTTTTTTTTTTTGGTACCGGGGATCGAACTCAGGACCTTGGCAGAACCTGAGCTAAATCCCCGGCCCAGCCATGCCATTTTTATTTCACATATGTGACTATGTGTAATGAATAGAGTGGGAAGGGAAAGATGGCTTGAGGAAGCATCTCAAATGAGTGCTTTTATACCTCTCAGCTTCTTGATGATTTTGTTACACAACCAGTGGAGGAGAAGGTGTGGTTGCTTCTGTATCCTCTGTGTGCTCAGATTAATCAAGAACTTTTCTTGCATTGAATCCTCTTCTCCTATCTGGCTGGCATGTTCAGTAATAGGCAGAAGAAACCTTATGCTTCAGCGTCTCTCTCTCAGAGGCCTGCTGGTCATCCAGGAAGGTGGGAGACCAGGATAATGCCACTGCAGCCTTTATCCCACCATCCCAACCAGGTGGCTCTGCAGCCTTTCTTTCTGCATAGGTCTGAATGCATTTCAGAGCTATGTGTAGGGCAGAAGCATCCAGGCCATGCTTTCAGGAAACACAAGGCAGCTTGGCCACCCCTTCTGACCCAGGTGCTTTCTCCCACGCAGTTAGGATATTCTGCCTGGGAAGGTATAAGTTCTTGCTCTTGCTTTGCATTTGGATATTGTCCTTCTGGGTGGACCTCGCTCTCTCTCTCTCTCTCTCTCTCTCTCTCTCTCTCTCTCTCAAAATTTTCCTTCCGTTTCCCTCATGTGTCCTTGTTTCTCCTTTCCTTTTTTTTTTACTTTTTGTTTTTCATCTGCCTCTGCTTCCCCTGATGGTTAACCATGGGTACCCACTCCATTTCTTTGCTACCTTGCACCTGCACCTGCACTTACACCTGCTGCTGCTGCTGCTGCTACTACTACTGATGCCGATGCTTTCTCCTCCTCTGACTTCAGGACGGGGCCTTATTTATGGAGTTTGTCCGCAGCCCACGCACAGCATCATCTGCCTTCTATACTCAGGTTAGTCAAACTCCAGGGCTTTGTAGCTCATGCATGTCTGTCCATTGGCAGAAGCCACAAACTAGCTTTCTGTTCAGTTCTGAGCAGATGGAATTGAGCTGTTTGAGGGGCAGCTTAAATTGAATTTGGTCTCCAGAGTGTATATTCCCTTCCTTGGTGTTCTCAGTGGTGCAGGAGACTGGAGATTCATGTAAGAGGTTAAATGATTACACTAGCATTAAGTCAAGTGTTTCTCATTGCTGCCTGTCTGGTTCACATGGTTGCCATGGATTCTCACCACACTGCAACATCTTCTAAGTTTTATAAGCAGGGTGATATATGTATCCTTAAGGACTGAACACTTATTTTTCTCCTCCCAGTACAACAGATAAATTTATAGCAGTGTGGCAGGAAGTGGTGAAAAACAAGAGCCAACATTTATAAATAGCTATGTGCTATATCATAGGCTATTGGTGTATGGCCCTAGACTGCTTGCCTGCCCTCTGGGCTTCACTTATCTCATTTGATAAATAAAGGGTTTGGATCAGATCTTCAAGGGCCTTCCAGGTCTGAAAATTCCACTTACTACATACCAAGCACATGCATTATCTCATTTAATCTTACAGTGCAACCTATGAGTTAAGTAAAACTTTTATCCCAGTTTTACAAATGGAAAAATTGAGACAAAGAAGTTGCTATATGTAGTATAGGGTAGAGCTGGGATTTAAATTCAGGACCCACAGGCTTGACTCAAGATCCACTCTGTAATTAGAGTTAGTAATTATTGTTTTGACAGATCCTTGGTGAAGAGAAATAGGATTTCCTGACGTATATTGAGGGCACTAAGTAGTATGTAAAATTGACTTAGTTATAGAAAACTAGTTACAAAGATCTGAAAGAGTGAATAGGATTTATGTAGACCAGGGGAGGCTAAGGGAGATGGGGCTTAGGAGGTTCAAGGGCAAAAATTAAGGAGTTCTTCTTTAGTAGAAGTCAGAAAACCAACATTTATTGATTACCCACTCTGCTAGTGCTTTACAAACATAATATTTTCAACAAATCTCTAATGTAGAAGCATTATCACTTCATTTTCCAGATAAGGAAACTGAGACTTAAATAAACTAGCTGGCCAGAAAGGACTCAACTATTAGTGAGTGACTAAGCCCTTATACTATACTGGTAGGGTAAGATTTTAGTTAGCCCTGGAATTTTGCCTTTCTTAGGAAACCAAAAGTTGCCATGCCTGTGGGTTCAGGTTTCCAGACAGCTGTGCCTGCCTCTTCTCAGTAAACTGCATGGCCCCAGGCAAATCCCTGTCAGGACCTCTCAGTTTTAATCTACACATCTCTCATCTCTTTAAGTGTGGGAGGCACACTGTATTTTTGGTTTGAAATGGACTTAGGTTAATCCTTTTAGCTTTTTACTTTCTAACAGAAGACTCTTATGAACAGTTTGGGTTTAGATTAGATTTAACATAAGACAAATCAAAGAGCTGGAAGAGATTTGTTTAATGAACCCTATAATAATCCACAAGCTTTATAGCCTATAGAACAAAAGTGGATGCTTCCAGCAGTTGGGAATAATAAACAGAGATCAGACTTCAGAGTAGGCACATAAACAAAGTGTGTTGTTAAAAAGATGTATAAATTTAGAGCTGGGAATATAGCTCAGTGGTAGAGTGCTTGCCTAGCATACTCAAGGCCCTGGATTCACTGCCTAGGACACTGGAAAAAAAAGTATCTGAACTCATATGAGAGGTAATAAGGGAATACTCAACATGTACACAAAATTAAATTATACCTTTTTTCTTTTTAAATGTTTGTTTATTGTAGTAAAGTATACCAAACATCAAATGTGTTTGTTTTCTAACATGGAGCATAGGATTGGGAGAGAGACTAGTGGAGTAAAAAGGTTGCTTTCAAAGCTTGGCTTCAGTACCATACCAGGGAGCTGCCTTAGGCATACTAATTAAAGTCCTGAACTCTAGTCTCCTCATTTGTAAAAGGAAATAAAAATAATTTCCTGACAGGGAAGGGGCAGGTCCAAACTGCAAGCCCAGTTTGGGTGAGATTTCTTGCTGACAGCCTCCTGGGGTAACTTGTTTTAGGGAACCAACACCATGGCGTCGGGCTACAAGATTGGCCCTCTGGATGCTAGACTCTGGGGCCAATTATCTGCACCTGGGTGTGATGGACGGGCATTTTGTTCCCAGCATCACTTTTAGTCACCCTGTGATAGAAAGCCTCCGAAAACAGGCCAGGACCCTTTCTTTGACATGCACATGATGGTGGCCAGGCCGGAACAGTGGGGTGAAGCCAATGGCCATAGCAGGAGCCAATCAATATACTTTTCATCTTGAGGCCACTGACAACCCAGGGGCTTTGATCAAAGATATCCGAGAGAATGGGATGAAGGTTGGCCTTGCCATCAAACCGAGAACTACTCTTGAGTATTTGGCACCATGGGCTAATCAAATTGATATGGCCTTGGTCATAACAGTAGAACCTGGGTTCAGAGGACAGAAATTCATGGAAGACATGATGCCAAAGGTTCACTGGTTGAGGACCCAGTTTCCTTCTCTGGATATAGAGCTCGATGGTGGTGTAGGTCCTGACACTGTCCATAAGTGTGCAGAGGCAGGAGCTAATATGCTTGTGTCTGGCAGCGCCATCAAGAGCAGTGAAGATCCCAGATCTATGATCAACTTACTAAGAAATGTTTGCTCAGAAGCTGCTCAGAAACGTTCTCTTGATCGATGAGACCACAAGAAACCTAGTGTTTGTGTTCCTGAAACTTTTTCACTAGAAAACAAGAACATAGACTACCAGATCACATCGCAGTCGAGGCAGTGCTGCTTTCCTGAGCAGTTATTCCAGTGATTAAAATGTTTTGTACAGAGTGTTCTAAGAGGTTACAAATTGGTGTGTATTAACTACATTTTAGCAATGCAATTTAAAGATTAGAGTGAAATATCCTGTTTTTATGGGAGAATTGATTTTTATAGCATGAAAATATGACTGATAAGGTGGCAAACAGAAATGTGTCTTACTGCCTGAGGGCATATTAGCTACTATGAAAAAAATTTTTTTTCTGTGTTTTTAAAAAGAATTTTCTATTGGGCCGGGGATTTAGCTCAGTGGTTTCAACGCCTGCTGCGCAAACACAAGGACCTGAGTTCGATCCCCGGTACCAAAAAAAAAAAAAAAGACAGGGTCTCACAAAAAGAATGTTCTATTATTTATCAGCTGTTCTGTAAAAGCAAAGGGAATCTTTGTTTTTCCTAATTCGTATTACTGTATTTCTGATTTGTTTATAAGCTTGATGATATGAGTAGAGTAGAACTGAAAAATACAAGTTTGGGTGGGATGGCAAACCATAGTCTTGCATGGAAGATTTTTCACTTTTACCTTCTACTCAATTCATTAAAAATGATAAAAGCGATATATGAAGCCCAAGGATTCTAAAATGCAAGTATGGGTTTTGTCAAGGTGTTTGCATTGTCAAAGCAGGTTATTCAGTGATTCCTTCCAGCTCCTGGTTTTCTTCATCTCACCCGCCATTCTTTTTTTTAAATTCTTTTATTGGTACATTTTAGGTATACAATACGTTTACATTTATCATTGGGTGCTTGTACCTGTACATGATGTATCTTGGTTTTTATTTTTTTCCCCCATTACCTGTGCACCATTCAACCCCTCCACCCTTCCCTATTTACATAGATTTCACTTCCATTTTTTTTCTCATAATTTTTCCTTTCCCTTCTTTCCTTTCCCCTTCCCCTCCCACCACCCCTACACCTTTGGATGTTTTCCTATTTCAAATTATCAGTTATTCATTTTAATCATTTTAATCCTTATTTACACTTTCAGCTTCTCACACTAGCGAAACTATTCAGTATTTACACATGTGTGTCCTGTTTATTTCACTTAAGGGTATGCATCTATTTAGCTATAAATGTCTCTAGTTTCTTGTTCTTTATGGCTGAGTAGTACTCCATTTTATAAAAAAAAACACATCTTCTTTATCCAGTTTCCAGTTGATGGGCACTTGGGCTGTTTCCAAGCCTTAGCTATTACAAACTGTGCCGCTATAAACATGGGTGCACATATATCTCCGTGGTATGATTCTTTTAATTCTTTGGGGAAGATCCCCAGCAGGGGAATAGCTGGGTCAAATGGGACCTCTAGCCCTAGTTCTTTGAG